ATGTGCGACCAGGGGCGCTGAGGTACCGGCAGCGGTTGTAATAGTCCTGCAGGCTTGAGATGGGAGGATTTAACTGTGTTACAAACAGGGCATTGATGAACAAACTTTATGACATCTGAATGAAGTGACGCCCACCAGAACTGATTGGTGACTAGATGTGTAGTAGCAGCGATACCTGGATGACCCGCACTGGGGGTACAGTGGATCCACTGCAACACACGGTGGCGTAGGCCAGGAGGGACGAAGAGACGATCGGCAGGACATTCCGGCGGAGCGGGATGGTTACTAAGAGCCGCAGTGATCTCTGAGATGATGTCCCATTGAACAGGAGCCACAATCAGAGTGGTGGGAACAATGGGTTCAGGCTTAGTTATCTCGGAATGACCGTCGAACAAGCGGGACAGGGCGTCAGCTTTGCCGTTTTGGGAACCAGGCCTGTAGGTGATCCTAAACTCGAATCTTGAAAAGAACAGGGACCAGCGAGACTGGCGAGCATTTAGACGTTTAGCTGACCTGATGTACTCAAGATTCCGGTGGTCCGTGAGCACAGTGAAAGGTTGACGCGCTCCCTCCAGCCAGTGCCTCCACTCTTCAAAGGCGGATTTCATCGCTAGAAGCTCGCGATCTCCCACGTCGTAGTTGCGCTCAGCAGAGTTCAGCTTACGCGAGTAGAAGGCACAGGGGAACATCTTCGCCGGATCCCCAAACCGTTGAGACAGGACAGCCCCCACTCCGGTGTTAGATGCATCCACCTCTATGATGAATTCCCTCTCAGGATCTGGGTGACGGAGTATGGGGGCGGACGTGAATCGCTCCTTGAGCTGCGCGAAGGCCGTAGTACAATCCGCAGTCCATCTGAAATATTTACCACCTCCTCGAAGCAGAGATGTGAGAGGGGCTGCAATGACACTAAAGTTGCGTATGAATCTGCGGTAAAAGTTAGCAAAGCCTAAAAAGCGCTGCAGTTCCTTAACTGATGAAGGTTGAGGCCAACTCACCACGGCACTGACCTTGCTGTCATCCATCAGGACTCCGTCGGCACTGATGATATAGCCCAGAAAGGAGATACGTGTCCGGTGGAACTCGCACTTGGAGAGCTTGACATAAAGCTGGTTATCAATCAGGCGTTTAAGAACTGCACGGACATCCTGGACATGCTCTTCACGGGAATCAGAATAAATCAAAATATCATCAATGTAGACAATAACTTTCTGCTGTAACATATCCCGGAAGATGTCGTTCACAAAGGCTTGAAACACAGAAGGACTGTTGGACAATCCGAACGGCATCACCCGATATTCGTAGTGCCCGGATGTGGTGGAAAACGCCGTCTTCCATTCGTCACCCCTCCGTATGCGAATCAAGTTGTAGGCGTTCCTTAAGTCCAGCTTAGTAAAGTAGCGAGCCGTGCGGAGCATCTCCAGAGCAGCAGGAACTAGCGGGAGAGGATAGCGGTATTTGACCGTCACTTCATTGAGACCCCGATAGTCAATGCACGGCCGAAGGCCCCCATCCTTTTTTTTGACGAAAAAGAACCCGGCGGAAGCCGGAGATGTGGAGGGAGTGATGAAGCCTTTAGCCAACTGTTCGTCAATATACACTCTCATGGCCTCGGTCTCTGGTTGTGACAACGGGTAAACTCTCCCGCGTGGTGGTACGGCCCCAGGTAACAGCTCAATAGCGCAGTCGCCAGCACGGTGTGGAGGGAGATGAGAAGCTTCAGATTCGCTGAAAGCCAGGGCGAGGTCGTGGTATTCGGGGGGAATCTCCAGGAGATCCACCCCTTTGAGTGCAGCGCAGGGGATTTCAGTACCATGGACAGCAGCTGCACAATGGATCTGGCAGAATTCGGACCACTTGGAAATTCTCTCCTCAGCCCAGGAAATTTGAGGGTTATGTTTCACTAGCCAAGGAAGCCCCAGAATTACAGGATGCATAGGTGAGCGAATCGTGAAGAATTGGATCGTTTCTGAATGCGAAGTCCCAAAGCTGAGCGTGAGGGGTTGCGTGGTGTACTGCACCTCTCCAGACCCCAGGGGGCGTCCATCCAGCGCCTCCACGGTCACACCAGACTCACATACGAGGAGAGAAACACGATGAGTTTTGGCAAAAGCAAGGTCGATAAAATTCCCTGCAGCTCCTGAATCAATCAAGGCTCTTATGTTTAAAGTCTGACCATTAAATTCTAAGGAACTGTCCACGGAGAATAATTTAGAAGAGGATTGAAAACTCACCGCAGAAGAATTCTTGAGCGCTGGATTCACTGGACAGGTTGCCCTCAGATGACCCGCCTCTCCGCAGTACATGCAGAGATGATTGCGGCGTCTCCTCTCCCGCTCCGCTGTAGAGAGGCGTGTGTAAGCAATCTGCATTGGCTCTGACTCCGCGTTGGGGAAAGCACACTCAACGTGGCTGAGTCTGAGGGGTGTGCGTCGGGCGCGAATCAGATTGTCGAGGCGGATGGCGAGCTCCATGATCTGACTCAAGGATTTACCATCATCGCGGCACGCCAACTCTCCCTGGAGCTCCGGGTTGAGTCCCCGGCGATACATCTGCTTTAAAGGCTCCCCCTCCCATCCAGCTTGAGCCGCAAGAGTCCGGAACGAAAGTGTGTAGTCCGCTGCGGTAGAACTCCCCTGGTGTAACGTGAGCAGCAGTTCTCCCGGGTCCTTTCCTCCCGCAGTATGTTCAAACACCTCTCTGAATTGGGTTAAAAACTCAGCATAGGAGGGAAAAGAGAGCTGACCACCATACCAGAGCGCAGTAGCCCACTCCAATGCCCGACCGGTGAGTAGCGAACACATGAAAGAGACTCGGCTCTCATCAGTGGCGAAGGACTGAGCCTGCTGATTGAAGTACAAGCTGCACTGCAACAAGAAGCCCTTACAGGTAGAAGGTGAGCCATCAAATTTCTCAGGGAGGGATAATTTGGCTTGATTAGGATGGTTACTCACGGCAAGAGGGGCAGGAGCTGGGGCAGCTGGATTCGGAGCTTGATTATCCGGCGCGCTCGGTGGGGTGAGCGCTCGGACGGATCTCACTAGCTCCTCCGTGAGATTAGTCAATTTCACTAATTGCTGCTGATGAGCGGCCAGCACACTAGCTTGAGTGGATACCTCGGAGGCCAGTCGATGGAAATCTGCTGGATCCTGTTGTGGTGAAGTCTTCTGTGATGAAGAGGCAGAGGCGGACGAATCCATTTGCAGTACTTTATTAACACAGGTAAGCCAACAGAGGTAAACAGACATAAACTCAAGGCCCAAGACAGGAGGGGCCGGTAAACTAACTAAAGCCGCTGAAAAGGGCAATCCAAAGGCGTAACAAACAGGCTAGGGTCAGAGGCAGGCAGCAAAGGTTCAAAGGCGAGTAACACAGTCCAAGATCAAAATACCAGCGCAAATACAAGACGACTAGCATGAGACAGAGTAACGGTAAAACAAGACTTCACAAAGGAACAAAGAACATAGCAGTCCAGATAAAGGGGAGCTGAAAGGGTGCACAGGTGGGGCTGATGAGATGATAGCCAATTAATAAGGGGATAATGAGAAGGGAAGGAGTTCTAATATGCAGGAGAGAGGGATCTGATGAAACCAGGAGGAGGCGTCGTTGAGCGTTCTGTGACAGCAACGAGGAGTGTCTGTTTTGTCTGTTTTTGTGACTAACGTTTCTTTAGTATAACCATGGAGTATAAAATTCAATATAAATTCTCGGTATTGCATTGGACTCTACGATCGGCGGAAGTTATCGAGCATCCTTACACCTTCACCGGAAATACCGCCATGCATAGAGCCCATTATTTAAAACTAGTATTGATTAATAGCACTGATGTAGGCAATCAGATGTTAAAAACAGAAACAGTTCCACCTGCACTCACGCTTATTTTATTTACTAAAGCATAGATGGTGAACAACATGTTCTGCTCTAAATGCCTGAGCACAAATGTCTATTTTAAATGTTTATCGGTTTTATTTTGTATCTAGGTACCTTTAAAGGAAAAGGCTCATGTCCACTTACATGTATCCTTAAATATAAAATATTAATCCAAGCAACTTTCCTGGAAAACAAATGTAGACAATTATAATACAAAAGTGGAATTACATCACTTGGAAACTGTTATTTTTCTTGTATGATGTCTCATAAAACCCCACTCATAGTGAGATGGATTTAACAGAAATCCAATAACACCACAAAATGTTTACAAGAAGCTGCATTTTCCACCAATAAAACACTGTTTCAGCAGAACCATTTGAGGTATGTGTTATTAAATAAAACCCAATCATAAAACTGATAGCACTGATGTGATGCCGAATTGATTAGATTTTCTGCGAATAAGCGGAAGACTGCAGCACGAAAGAAAAATGCAATAGAGGCCACTAAACTCTGATTGATCAAATGAATGATCTAAGCTGTGTATAAAATGCAAGTGTATGCATGTTTGCCAAATGGAAAATACAATGAAACTATTTATGTAGTTCTAAATGTCCGAACTTTATAATTAGTAGCATATTTCATGAGTTATGCAGACAGTCTTCCCTCCTATTGCCAAATCAATTCCATTTGCTTTAAACAAGCAGATGACCATGTCTCATTGTAGCAAGAAAAGCTTGTTTAAAGCCATTTTTCAAAACCTTACTAAATTGGATGAATGGCTCAATAAATGAGGTAAATGATTAAATAATTGTATAATCAATAAATGTTTGAATAAATGTTTGTGTCCCTGTGTGTGATTTTGTGCACCATCTAATCATGCATTCAAACCCATTTGAGCAATCAGACTCTTTAAAATAGATCTTTAATTTCCAGCAGAGTTCAGGTCAAGTTTAACCAATTGAGCAGGAAAATTCAGTTAAATGTTCCTGAATGTTGAAAAAAAAAATATTGATTGGTTTCAACTTGCATAATGCATGCCTCTGAAAGAATCTGCAATAGCATTTGGCAATTCTCAGCAATTGATGCTGAAGCTTTTAAATAAGTCCGGAGTAAATGGAGTGATGTCTTACCTGTGGGCTTAGACTGGGTCTGAAGGTCATGCTGGTGGAGGATGGGCCGCTCATGGAGGGATGGCACAAGGGCGAGCTGATGACGGGGAACGGCGAGGACAGGCCGTTGATGGGCGAGTGCAGCTGACCCGGGCTGGAGCTCATCGCAGACGGGCTGAGCAGGGGCTGGTGCAGAGGATGGTTACTGATGCCTCGGTGACCCATGGAGGAGCTTAAAGGAGGCGACGAGAGCTGACCGGAGGAGTCTGCAGGACGGCGAGACGGAAAAAGAGTTACACACAAAGGAAACTGTGAGAGGTAAATAATGCCATTGTGTCTATGTTAGGATATTTTACACAGCTGCTCTTGTGAAAAGGTTTAAGAATGTGAAAATAGAGTTCAAATATTGATTCAATTAAAAAATTTGACTAATGACCGATATTTTAAGGTTTTTCTTAAACTTTTAAAATAAAAGTGTTTAATTCACAATGTAAACATTTACAAAAAAAAAAAAATACAACAAAAACTTTCTAATTCAAGAAGTCACAGAGAAGGTGCTAAATAATCATAAAAACTATGACAAATAACATAAGTCAAATTATTAAAATAATGAATATAGCATATAAATATACTGATATAATAAATACATTAACAGTCGATTTTGGTACATAAGACATTTTGGTACATAATAAGTGCATGTCAAAAAAATTAAATGATAAATCATTTTTTATGTTGATATTAGCTTATTTAATATTGACATTTCTATTTAAAATAAGGCCCCGTTTACACGAAGGGAAAACGCAGTTATTTCCCTGCGGATTGGCCTCTCGTTTACACGAAAACCCCGTTTTTATCCCAGAAAACGATTATTTCTAAAAACTCCGGCCAAAGTGGAGATTTCTGAAAACGCCGGTTATGTGTTGTCGTGTGATACGTAGTACTTCCGGATTCTGTGATCTTTGTGCACTGCCACTTCCGTTGAACCACCGATCTCGCTGGCGAACTGATGAAGGACTACACTAAGTTTATTCATACGGCATCCCTGGTAAATTAGTCTGTTTCACTAAAGTGCCGGCTGCAAACAAACGTGCTACCTTGTTTTATTTTAAAGTTTTAATCCACTTCCTCCTTATACTCAATTCAGTCGGGAATCCATGAAAACTAGATTTACAAAGTGGAACAGAGCAGTGACATAAATAGCATTCGTCTCAGGCATTGTTGAACTGCCACGGAAGTGGACATGCACAAAGGTGACAAATCCCACCCATGAAACCCGGAAGTGTGATAATCCCCTATTGGGAGAAACGGCGTTTTAGGTTCTCTCTTGTCAATTCTGAGGATTCTGATTGGCTTGCATGTCTTTATTCTTAACCCCTACACTGCCACCAGTAGGTTTGGCATAGTTATGATGGTGCTCGATGGCGTATTTATGCGGACGTGTGTGAACGGTGTTATTTCTGAAAACGGAGAGGGGGAAAATATTCGTTTTGCTAAATACCCGGCTTTGTGTAAACGTGGCCTAAGTGACATGACGTGAAGGCCAAGTTTCAACCCATCCAAGTAAGTGCACACACAGGAGCAGTGAGTAGTGAGACACACACACACACACACACACACAAACACACACTACAAACTTTAGAGACCCACCCGGGAACTTTCTATTCATCATGCAATCCTGAATTTTTTCATGGCTCCCTCAAAGCTATTGAGCAAAACAACCATTTTCAACATTGATAATAATAAGAAATGATTCTTGGGCATAAAATCAGCATATCATGAAGGATCATGAAGTCTTGAGTAATTGTACTGAAAATTCAGCTTTGCCATCACAGGAATAACTTACATTTTTAAATATATTCAAACAAAACACAGTTATTAAAGTAATAATATTTTACAATATTAACTTTTTTTTACTAACCCCAAACACTAATGTAAATTATTATGTATTCTTCAAGAAGTATTATTTATATGTGGGTACTTGCACAGACAATGTGTACATGCACACTGTGTTTGACATGTGTGTGTGTGTGTCTGTGTGGTCCTAAACCTTACGTTATGGGGATACAATGATTGCAATATCAGAAATCCTTGTCCTTGTGGGGACATTTTTTGGTCCCCATGAGGAAAACAGCTTTTTTTTGCTTTTGAAAAATACGAAAATTCAGAAGGTTTTCTGCGATGGTTGTGTTGGGATTGAATATACAGTTTGTACATTATAAAAATCATTATGTCTATGGAAAGTTCCCATAAAACATGAAAATGTGTGTGTGTGTTTGTGTTTGCTCTTCTATACATACTGTATCTTTACCATACTGTCAGTTGACCTGTTGACAATGTCTACTCTGATAACACAGTGGACTTCAGCCACAACTTGCCTTCTCTTTAGAGAGAGTAAACACATGTTGAGAAAACACAGAGGGCTTAATTACTCATCCTAGTTTTCCCCCCACAGCTTCAGACCTTGACTGAAATGAAAACAATATCAATCTTCCTATACATGCAGCAACACATCTCAGGAAAAGGTAACAGTTCAAGTGTCATAGCAAATATTGTATTGAAACATCAGCTTCAGCTTCAGCTTATTTTCTCACTCTGACTATTGTGAAACATTTCGAAGGCCATTAGTCATTCAGTGTGTTTCTCTGGTAAACGCAAGTTTGTAATATCATTTTTATTTCCGTCTATTGAAAAGCATGAACAGAGTAATTTTATTCTATTAAAACCAGCAAAGTTCTTTTATATTACGTGTCTTAAGTCCAGTGACAAGTAACATATTTCCACTGAAATGGAAGCTACTGAGCGACTACTGATGGTGAGGAGAACCGTTTATTCACAATAGTGAAGACCAAAAAGCAGTGAAAGAAAAGAAACTCAACCCTGACATGATTAACAACTTAACAATGAACAATGACATGGAACATATGGACCATAGAACAGCATACTATTCTTCAATACATGACAAAGTAACATGGCAAACATGAACATACATAACTAATGAAACAATAACCAATGAGAACAAGACCCATGAAACAAAGTAACCAATGAAAACAAGACACATCTTAAGGAACAAATCATAACATGAAACATGAAAAGGAATCACATGACATAAACAGGTGACCCAGTTAACATGAACTTCAAAAATAAAAGACATGAAAACATGAACAAAACCTAAACATTTGTGACATCAACAGTTACTTTAAGAGATATTTCTACTTGAAAAAATGACTTTCATTGGTTTATCCCAATATTGTCAAGTTAGTTGAAAAATATTAAATCATTTCTTTAACTTGAAGCAGTCCATTTAGATGTTACCACATAATGTATACTTTTTAGATGGTAAAACAATTGTACAGTGTGTTTAAGTTTATAGAATATGCATTTTAATCTTATTGCTGGTGGTATGACAGTACACCAATAGGTATAGTGTGATACTTTTAGATTTTGTTATACCATAGTAGAAAACATGTGTGCTGTTATCAGTGGGCAGTTGTTTTCATGCTATTTACATTTAAATGATGATTTTTCATTTTGGGGTGAACTACTGCAAATACCAATGTGAAACCAAACCACTGAAGATTATGAGGAGCTATGAAAGTTTAAGATTTGTCAGGTTGGATTTACGCCAGGGATTCTTTCCGCCAACCCAAACCAGCCCTGTTCACTGTCACCAGCATTTCTCCAAAACGTATCTTAAAGCGGAAAGCTTAGTTAAAAAAACACTCATGTTTTCTTTTAAAAAATCTGTCTGAAAGCCCTCGCTGGACAGTTTAAATTAGTTGTGATCCGGTTTCTCGTCCTATCTGCATGACAGATTATGAGTCGGCAACAAATGACGGTCGGCGATATGTGTCTCTGACACACCACATACATGCACACACCTTCTCCCCTGCCACCATATTGCACAACTTTTGGGCACAGGTACATATAGGCACCATGTACATTCACACAGACTATAAACATCAATACACACCTATACAAACATTCCCAGAGCACTGAACTGACATTTCAGATCATAAACAAGGTGTGTAGGAAGATCATTAGAAGCCTCAAAGTAACTTTTCGCCCCCTCTCTCTCTCAAACACACACTTTCATTTATACACCACAAAACTAATTTGAATGAGAATCAGAGCTATTCTGAGCTTCATAAAATTGTGTTTTTCTCCCAAAGATGACCACATGCTGACAGCAAGATTTGCAGCTCAAACCTTCCTCTGAGAACTACAGCATAAAACTGGCCTACTCTGAAAAATATGTGGTGTAGGATTTACTTTGAAACAACTCAGAAATTGTGAGTGAATTTCACAAATAGCTACAAAGAAATGGCAAGTATCAAATTGAATGAAAACATGTAAAAGATGAAAACATGTAAAACATGTAAAGATGAAAACATGTAAAACATGTAAAGCTAAAAACATGTAAAGATGAAAACATGTAAAACATACTCCAGTTACAACTTCTAAAAAACGTCCTCGGGTTCCGACTGTAACCCTTGTTCCCTGAGAAGGGAACGAGAACTGCGTCCAAGTGACACTTTGGGGGAACGCCCCTCAGCGTAGCGTCTCTGAAGCATGAATGAAACTAAGCCAATCTCCGATTGGATCAACGTGATGACGTGATGTGTGACGACACATAGGCGGAAGCATATATAAGGAACCGGCACACACAACATGTCAGCTTCTGTGATGAAGCAAGCGCTCCCAGGCAGGGGACGGCGTGGCCACGAGACGCAGTTCTCGTTCCCTTCTCAGGGAACAAGGGTTACAGTCGTAACCCGAGGACGTTCCCTATCGAGGGAACTCAAACTGCGTCCAAGTGACACTTTGGGGGAACGAGTACCCACTACGCCACAACGCGCCCTGCCTGTCCTGGTGTGAAGCTGCTAACAGGCGCACTCAGGACGCGAGCACAAGAGAGCCGGGTGTCGACGGAATGTCTAAGCTGTAAAACCTAATGAAGGTATGTGGGGTAGCCCATCCAGCTGCATCGCAGACTTCCTGGATGGGGGCCCCTGCGAGAAGGGCCCTAGAGGATGCTATGCCTCTAGTGGAATGGGCCCTCACAGCCAAAGGTGAAGGCATACCGCGCACCTGATAAGCTGTGGAAATCGCATTGACAATCCAGTTGCTGATGGTTTGTTTTGAGGCCGGAAACCCCTTTTTGGGCGACCCGAAACATACCAGCAACTGGTCCGCCTTCCGCCATGAAGAGGACCTCTGAATATATATCCCTAGTGCTCTGACAGGGCAGAGCCTATGAAGTCTCTCC